AATAAATTTAAACATTTTTTATTATTAATAATTATTGGTATATAATTATAGAAGAAGGTATATAATTATAAGAATAATTATATAATTATATAATTATATAAAAGTAATTATTAATTATAATACGGGAAGGAATATTTATTAATAACTTGCACTAAGTGTGACACTGTTTTTCCATAAAATCGATCACTGTTTGCGTAGCTTTTAATAAATATTTTATCGATTTTGAAAAAACGTTTTTAAAGATTTTTTTTGTGATTGACATTTTTTAAAAAGAAACAATCCGTATTTATAAATTATTTCCTTGCTTTAATTATATATAAAATATCAAGTTGTCGATCTAAATAATGAAAGTTTTCTCGTGTACGTCTGACCAAAATGGGTTTATTCTACTTGCGTGGATTACTCCTTATAAGTTCTAACTTTTGTAATACTCCAGTCAACATGTTAAGCAGTTCAGGAATAATTTCTTTTTCTTTACGTTAAAAAAACTTAAAAAAAAACTTTTGACTTTAAAACTGTTGGTTGAGTGAATAAAAATTTTTATTGAAATTAAAATTTATTGGGATATTTAATTTTTGAATAAATTTTTATAAAATGTACGCTATATTTTAATTATAATTATAATCATACAATTAATACTAATTATAATTATACAATTAATATTAATTATACAAGTTTATTAAAATATACAGAAGAAAATATTATAAATCGGGGTTTTTTAGTTCCTAAAAGTTAAATGAAAGTTGGAGCAAAAAAAAATTATTATTATCATAACAATTAAAATTTAATATATAATAAGAATTAATTTAATAAGAATTGAAAATTTAATTAAAATTTTATAATTAGAAGAAGTAAAATTATAATATAATTTTGTTCACCTTTTTCCTTCGGATTTCAAATTGAGACAAAAAACGAATCAAAAGTGTTGCGAAGCAACATTTTTGATTCGTTTTTTGTCTCAATTTGAAATCCGCAGAAAAACAGTGTAATTATTGTAATGAATAAAATTATAATTTAAAAATTATAATTATACTAATTACAATAATTGTAATAAATAAAATTTATCATCTGAATTATTTTTCGATCGAGAAAACACACAATAATAGTGAAAATTTGAATGAAATGTTTAAAAACAAAAATGTCGCCCTGCTTTATTGTTTATGGTTGAGCGTTAACGAAGAAATTTCACACCATTGAGAAAACATTTCATTTGCTCAAAAGCTAAGAAGGAAAATACAATTGACTTCCTTCTCCTTTGTTCTATATAATCTTTCCTAAAAATACACCCCATTGTTTGAGTTCATCTTCAAAAATATTAAGTTGAATATTGCAGTTAACCTACATTTTCAAAATTGTCTCCATTTTTGTATTATGATTATTTTTATTATTATTACTTTTTCATTATAAATAAGCTTCTACGATTTTATTTTTTCATTTTTAAATTTAAATAACACAACTTTTGTTCTTTGGAAAAAATTCACTCTATCTTGCAAAATAATCTCAAAAAATTCCAAATGGGATTTACTTTTAAAAGTTATTTTCGTGCTATTATTAAAATTATTTAAAATATATTTAAAAATATAATTAAAAATGTAATTAAAAATAAAAATTTAATTTCGAAAATTATGGTTCGAATGAACGAAATTTTTTTCAATCTTAATTTTTCAAAAAATACTATTTTTTGGAGTAAAAATTAAAAACAGGTACATAGAAATTAAACATTTTGGAACTTTGGGAATTATTTTTCAATACTTGACACAATATTTTTATAATGGAATTTTAATTTTAAAAATATAATTTAATTTATTTCAACGTTCAAAATTTGAGGAATTTTATAGAAGGACTAAGTTAGGAACATTAAATTTTTTATTTTTTTATTTTTAATCATTCGATATTTATTATATGTTTAAATGTATTAAACTTGAAGTATAATAACGACGATAAAGTAAAATTGAACAAAAACGTGATTAATTCAAAAGTATCTTCTTTTCTTTTGTTTTGAAGCTAAAAAAATTATATAAAATTGAAAAATGGAATAAAAACGAGAAACAAACAGTTATTGTGAACATTTTATTTCCGTGAACTAAATAAAGATAAAAAAGCGAGCAGCAAATATTTACGGGATCAACTTAGACGAAAAAAAATTCATTTTTTGTTTAATAATAATATTTATATAAATCGGTGCGCATTGAGAGAGGAGAATTATTTTTGTTTACTTATAAAAAATATTTGAATTTGTTTGAATTTCAAATAATTAAATATTTATTTTATAGATATAATGCTATGCACAATTCTTTTTGTCTTATATTCTCAGTAAAAATTGAGAATATTTTTCTAAACGTAATTATTTGAAAAAATTCTAAAGATGAAAATTATTTATTTTTATATTTATTTTCATGTATAGATGTTTTATATTTTCGATTCAAAAATTTTGTTTTCAAATTTCGTTTCTAAATTGTGGTATATTTACAAGTAACTTTGAAAATTATATTTATGAGTAAATTTGTGAGTAAATTTTGTAACTTAAATTTGAAAATTAAATTCGTAATCGTAATTAAATTTGTAAATGAATTTTGAAAATCATATTTTTTAGTAAATTTGAAAATTAAAATTTGTAAGTGAATTTGTAAATTAAAATTTGAAAATTATATTTGAAAGTAAATTTGCCAATTTAATTTGTAAGTAAATTTATAAATCAGATTTCTCTAAATCTAACAATAATATTTTTTAATGTTCGTACAAAAAGAAATTATAGGTTTTTCTTAAAGTTTAAATTAACTTTCTTAAATAAAAATTGAACGTACGTTGAAGTATAAACTAAAGAATTATTAGTAAACTTTAACTGCGATTATTGACAAATATAGAAGAAATATAATTCCCAACTATTGGAATTCTTAAGAATCCTTAAGAATCATCAATTTATAAGAGCTATAATATCAAAGAAGGAAAAGCGAACCAAGAATTCACGAAACGCGAAAAAGCTTTTATGGGATAATTTATGGCGAAGATACAATAGCAATTCTATCTCTAAAGAGAAATTTATCAAAAAAAAAAAAGAAAAAGGATTTTTGAATAAATTTCCCACAGGTATACTTAGAAACAGGAAAATTAGTTTTTATTCAATTAATAAAACGTTGTTTTTTTTATTTAAAATTAAAAAAATAATTTTTTAATTCCAAATTCTGTTCTTTTTGAAGGTAATATAGAAAAAAAATTTACTGAACCGAAATTAATAATTAAATTAAATATCATTTAACTATTTATATATTTATTTATAGATCAACATTTTTTTTCTATTCCTTCGAAAACAGCAGAATTTGGTAAAAAAGCTTTTTAAATTTCGATTTACTGAATCGAAATTAAATAATTAAATTTAAATTTAATTTAATTATTTACTTTTGGTTCAGTAAATCAAACGTCATTTTTTTCTGCCTTCAAAAGGAATAGAATTTCCAATTAATGAAATTCTTTTAACAGTTATTGATTAATTATCTATTATAATTACTTTACTATTCAATTATTTTCAAAATTTTTAATAAAATTCTTTTCAAAATTTCAATGATTTTCAAAAGTTTCCCTCATTTTAATGATTTTTAATATCTACTATATTTTAATAAAATTACCCAAAAGAATTCAATTATTTAAAAACAATTTTAATAAAATTGTACTCAAACATTTAATTATTTTCATAAATAATAAAAATTTCCCAAGAATTCAATTATTTACAAATTTCTTATAAGTTTCTTCTCAATAATTCAATTATTTTCATAAATAATTTTCATCGCAGAATTTCAATTATTTTTAATACAATTTTAATCTAATTTCTCGAAAAACGAAATTATTCTTAAAAATTTTATTGAAATTTCCCAAAAGAATTTTAATTACCTATTTAAAAATTTGTTGGCAAAATTCTTTAAATGAGAGTTCAATTTTAAAAAACATTCAATTCTTCAAAAAATTATCTACTTTTGTATTTAAATAATTGAATTCTCGTAGAATTTTCTAATAATTTAATAATTTAAAAAAAAACAATTTATTTAAAAGAGAAATTATTGTTTTTAAATAATTTTGCAATTAAAAAAATTTGTAAATAAATGTAACAGAACATTTTTTGGAGTAAAATTTTTTTTCTTTAGGTATTTTCTAAAAATTAAAAAATTTTCATTTTCAATTAAAATTTGTAATTGACAAATAGAATTTATAAACATTTGTTTCCTTTATTTCTAAAAAACTTTGAATTTTATTAAAACAATTGTAATTAAGAAAATTCATTTTCATTTCTCTATTTAATAAATCAAATTTATGATTATAATTATTTTATCTATCATTATAATCATAATTATAATTAAATTAAAATTTGATATAATTATAATTGTAATAATAAATATTATTATTAATATTATTATAAATTAAATTTTTCTCGTTTTGAATTTCGCGCCAATGCAGTTCATTAAATTGTCGCCTAGGTGGCATGAAAGTTCTCTCACAAACGAGATGAAGCGAATAGATTATAATATCCCACAGGTCCCACAGAAAGTTCACTAGTATTTTTGTAAAATGATCCTTATAATGATTCAATTAAAATTCTATAGAAATTTTCCAACTGCGTTGAATAAAAATATAAATATAATATAATTTTTTTTTTTAAATAAATACAAAGAAAGTATGAAAAATTTCTTTTATTTTAAAAATAGAAATTTCTTTTTACGCTTTCATATCCTTTAGAAAAAATTCTTGAACAGCATTGATATTAATTTCTTCTATTATTATAAAAAGATCGATTATATCGAAACAGCATTTGTTTAAGAGTGTCACCGGGGACTCGACAATCAACTTGAGTATAAAAAGCGACAAAGTAATTTTCTTGACACTGTTGAGAGAACGTAAACACTGTCCCCTACTCTTCAAAAAAAAAAAAAAAAAAAAAAGAAGAAGAAGAAGAAGAAATTCTCTCTTCTTTTCTTTCTATTTTCATTTCCTGGTTTTATACTCGATCGAGATATACAACCACGCTCGGGAGGAAGAGACGCACGCATTAGTAGAATCTTGACTTTCATACAAAATGGAAGCATTAAAGAGTGAGTTTTCAAATTCCAAACATCGAATTGACTTCATTTTATACAAGGGTCCTTTATCCGAATAAGTTAAATTATTCACTGAATTTGATAGCCTATCTCCTGCTATGTATATTTAGTCCTAACAAGATAATACCCATGACTACATTTTTTTTTACTATATTTTATTATTGCTCTAAACTTTTTTATCCTCTGAATAAAATTTTTAAATTTAAAGAATTTTTTCTTTCTAGTTAATTAAAAATAACTATAATTATTAGTAAAAATTGTTATTTTTAACCAAATTCGAATTTAGATTAATTTCTCCTTATTGCTTATTAATAAATTTTCTGATTAAAAAACTAAACCTAAAAAGTGAATCTAATTAGAAAAATTGTATTAAATGGCTGTTACAATTTTTAACTGTGAGCTTATTGCAATTTTGCTCTGCAAGTTTAAATTTAATTATTTAATTTAATTTAATCTAGATTTCAAATAAATTTATATAAAAAATCTTTTTAAAAAATCAATTTAATTAAATTAATTAATTAAATTATTATAAACAATTAAATATTTACATGAACAGAGTGGCCAACATGTCAGTAAAGTAAAGGAAATGATAAGAAAAGAAAATTTTTGTCAGGGAAATTAAGAAACTTGAGACTTTTTTCGAATTATTTTTAAAAATTGCGACATTTATTTCGATTTTTCTTTTTGAATCATTTTTTAACATAATTAAATTTTTTAAATAAATTTATATAAAAAATCTATTTGAATAATTAAAATTTTGTAAAATTTAATTGAAAATAATTATTTTTTTTCAAGTATTTTGTTACAATTTTTGAAAATCAACTTTTGAAGAATATTTTAATTGCAAATTTTGAAAATAATTGAATTATTAAAAATGTTGACAAAAAATCTTTAAATGTAAATTTAAAAATGAAAATTAATGAAAATTAGCTTTTATAATTTTTTAAAATTCAATATTTTCAGTATTTTTAATTACATATTTCCGAAAATTTATAGAAAAAATAATAACATTTTAGAATTCTTTTGAAAATTTTGGAGAAACTAAAAATCATGTTCAAAATGTTTAATTAAAATTCAAAAAAATTCATTGCTTTTTTTAAATTATACAAAAATTCTTTTAAGAAATTCAATTATTTTCGAAAAATTACATATTTTTAAAATCTATTTCTTAGAATTATTTTATCATAATTTTTTACTATTCAATTATGTCTGAATAAAGTGAATAAAAATTTATAAAAATTTACATTTTTAGACTTATTAAATTTATTAAATTTATTATATTAAAATTTTTGAAAATCAACTTCCGATGAATATTAATTGCAAATTTTGAAAATAATTGAATTATTAAAAATGTTAATGGAAAATCTTTAAATTTAAATTTAAAAATGAAAATTAATAAAAATTAGCTTCAATAATTTCTTAAATTTCAATATTTTCAGTATTTTCAATTACATATTTCCGAAAATTCAAATACATACAAAAAATAATATTTTAGAATTATTTCTTTAAGAGCATTTGAACCATTATGACGTCACAATTTCTACAAAGTATGTGTTCTAAAATTGTGACGTAATAATGGTTCAAATACCCTTAACATTTTGGAGAAAAAATCTTGTCACAATTTTTTTATTTAAATTCAAAAAAATTCATTACTTTTTTAAAATTATACAAAAATTGAAAATTCTTTTAAGAAATTCAATTATTTTCGAAAAATTACATATTTTTAAAATCTTTTTCTTAGAATTGTTTTATCATAATTTTTTAAGATTCAATTATCTTCGAATAAAGTGAATAAAAATTTATTAAAATATACTTTTTCAAACTTACTAAAATTTCAAATAAATCATGGTCATATTATTTATAATTAAAATTCTTCAAAAATTTGATTATTTTTATTTATATTTCTCAAAAATTCAATTATTTTTTAAAAATTTTACCAAATTTCAATTGTTTGGAAATTTTTCAATTTTATACCTATAATTAAAAAACTATTATCTCTCTAAAATTATTTTAAAATATTTTTAAAAAATTAATTGTAAGAATTTCTTTATTATAATTTTTTGAAAATATACCTTAATAACTTGAGAAAAAACATGGAAAGTTACAATTATTATAAAAAATAATTTTGACTTTTGAAAAATTATTTAAATAATTGATTTAAAGATGAAGTTTAATTGAAAATTGTAGAAAATAATTGAATTCAGGAAGGGTAATAATTATAATTTTTTAGAAATTATTAAAATTCACAAATTTGACTCATTTTTCGTAAACTTTCATATTTTCCTGTAAAAAGAATCTTGTCAGGGAAAATAATTTTATTGTCAGTAAATTGATAAACTGAAACTTGTGACCACTCTGATGAATCAAATAATTTTTTTCTCATAGTGTGAAAATTGAAACTTTTTTGAAAATGTATTTTAAATTGAAGAGAAATTTCTTCCTTTGTCGTTTATAATTTCGAGAATAGTTTTGACGACTCTTCACTTACTTTATTTATAGAAGAAAATTGTTACTTTAGCTTTTCTTAAAAGAAAAGAGAACTAAATAATAGCAAGACTGAAAATAATGTTTGAAAATAAGAAAATACATGGGATTGAACAAAAAAAAGAGAGAAAAAAACGGACAAAATGTTTGGAGAAAGAATACAGGTAAAATAAAAGAGTGAAACACGAATAAAGCGCTTTGTTTCCACGAGTTTTTTGTTAGTTAGAAGTAAAAAGACGGTTTCTTCTTTCTCGCAGAAAACATTATCGTGCATGATAATCGAAAAGTTTAATTAATCTTCTTATTTGCGAAAAAGAAATTCAATTGTTGCTTTAGGAGTAAATAGTTGAATTTCTTTCTATTCATAACAATTATACTGTGAATTAAAAAATAGGTAATGAATAATAATTGTTATATAAATAATTGCTAAAAATAATTGCTATAATAATATTATAAATAAGATAACAATAAATAATAATAAATAATAATAAATAAATATAAAGAATAATAATAAAGAATAATAATAAATAATGATAAATAATAATAAAGAATAATTTTATAAATAAAACGATTGCTACAAATTTTTTTTAATGATTTAATACTTTTCTAATGACGAACGATGGTTTACTTTTCTAATGATGTATAAAAATAGATTTCTCTATATATTTTCTTCTTTAATTGACATCATTAATAAATTTAAAGTGCATTTAATCTATATAAACTTCCAGTAAGAATAAAAATTGAAAGTAATTTTTTTCAAATACTTTTTTTTTATTTTTTAATAAAAGTTTTAATTTATAAATTTAAAAATATAGTGCAGTTATTACTTTCTGTATACGTGTGCGAGTGTAAGTATATATACAACAATCAGGAAATAAGAGTCGGACTTTTGTTTCTGTCACAATTTTATTCTCTGTCAGGAAAGTAGAGTAAACTGAAGGAAAATAAAATCGTAGAAAAAGTGAAATTCGACTATATCTTCTCAGAAAGTTTCAAGTTAGATTTTGATATATGTATTTCAATCGACATGACCAGCTGTTCATTTATTTTTGAAATAGTCAAACATTTTTAAACTTTGTTCCATTTTTTTTCTTTTCTTTTTTTTGTCATGTTCTGTAGATTTGTTTCTTCGATAGTGACAAAGTAATTTATAGTCAGCAACAAATATTGGTATTCTTAAAAAATTTGTTTTCAAAAATAAGGGAGAGTTTAATGAAAATGAAAAATAGAAAGAAATTTTTTTAAATAATATTTTTTTATATTTTCAGTTGGGAAAGTTGTGGAGAATTTTGGCAGAAGGATTATGTCTATAAATAAATGAAAAAAAGTAACTAAAAATGGATTCATATAAATAGGCTCTTTTTCCCCACTCTTTTTTCTCTGATTTTGTTAATTGATAAGAATTATTTCCTTTGACTTATTATTGTAATTTATAATATTTATTTCTTAGTTGAAAAATTGAATTTGAATTTGGCGCCAATGCAGTTCATTAAATTGCCGCCTAGGGGGCATGAAAATCCTCTCATAAACGAAATAAAGCGAATGGAGTACATTTGTTGGTGATATAAAAATGATTCGTTAAAATTATAAATTAAATATAGTTTTATAAATTATTAAATTATAATAATAAATAAATTGTAAATAATTTTTATTAATGAATAAAATTAGATAGTTGTAAAAAATTCTACTAAAAATTTTAATAATTATTCAATTCCTATGAAGAATTTTATTATTTTGGAAAATAATTGAATTCTTGCGAAGAATTTGGTTAAAATTTTTGAAAATTATAATTAAATTCTTTTTGAAGAATTTCTTTGAAATTTTTTTTAAATAATGGAGTTTCATTCATAATTTTAATTTGGAAAAATAATTGACTTTTATTAACAATTTCATTCAAGTTTTTAAAATAATCGTGTTTGTTAATATTTGTAAGTAAACATTTAATTCTTAAATTTTATTAAAATTTTAGAAAATAATTAAATTTTTTTGAAAAATTGTATAACGAATTAAGAAAAAAATTGAATTGTTTCGTGAAATTTTTTTTAAAATAATTGAATTTTTGCAAAGAATTTTACTATTTATAAATATAATTGAATTGCTTAGAAGGATTTATTAAAATTTTAGAAAATAATGGAATTTTTTCGAAAAATATTATTAAAAATTTTTTTAAAATTGAATTCTTTCGTGAAATTGTTTTGAGAATAATTGAATTGTTGCAAAAAAAATTATTACGAATTAAGAAAAAAAATGAATTGTTTCGTGAAATTTTTTTTAAAATAATTGAATTTTTGCAAAGAATTTTACTATTTATAAATATAATTGAATTGCTTAGAAGGATTTATTAAAATTTTAGAAAATAATGGAATTTTTTCGAAAAATATTATTAAAAATTTTTTTAAAATTGAATTCTTTCGTGAAATTGTTTTGAGAATAATTGAATTGTTGCAAAAAAAATTATTACGAATTAAGAAAAAAATTAAATTGTTTCGTGAAATTTTTTTTAAAATAATTGAATTTTTGCAAAGAATTTTACTATTTATAAATATAATTGAATTGCTTAGAAGGATTTATTAAAATTTTAGAAAATAATGGAATTTTTTCGAAAAATATTATTAAAAATTTTTTTAAAATTGAATTCTTTCGTGAAATTGTTTTGAGAATAATTGAATTGTTGCAAAAAAAAATTATTACAAATTAAAGAAAAAAATTAAATTCTTTCGTGAAATTTTTTTGATAATAGTTGAATTTTTTAAAGGATTTTTCAATTTAAAAAAATAATTGAATTGTTTCGAAGGATTTATTAAAATTTTAGAAAATAATTGTATTCGTTCGTGAAATTTTATTAAAATTTTGTTTAAAAATAATTGAAAAAAATTTTACTATTTATTCTTGCGATTTGTGAAATTAATGAACAAGAATAATTTAATTGGTAAATTAGTTCCAGTGAATTTCAATAGAAAGTTCGCTAGATTTTTTTGTAGAATCATTCTAGAAAAATTCTATAAAATTTCTCTGACACTTTTATGAAAAATTTCTCAACTGAATTGCTTTCGGAATTATTTTCATAAACAGGAAATAGTTTGAATAAACATTTAATTATTGAAAATAAAAATTGTTGAATTGTAAAATTGTAACTAATTCGCAAATGAGTTTTTACAAAAGAATTTTTTTACTCTTTGTAAACAAAGATTTCGTGTAATAGTCAATGTAAACTAAATATATTGTTGTTTTTGGAGTAGAAAATATTAACCTTGTTTTTTTGATGTATTCAAAATTGTAGAAAAAGAAAAATTTGTATATTGTGATATTGGAAGAATTGGCATGCAGCCAATTTTTCAAATATTGCAGAAACTTTATATATATATATATATATATATATATATATATATATATATATATATATATATATATATATATATATATATATATATATATATATATATATATATATATATATATATATATATATATATACGTATAATATACGTTTTATAGGTGTGTATATACGAGATCGTTTACACGCTCGATTAGATTTTACATGGGTATTTTGTTACAACTTTCCAGTTATATTCATGAGATTTTTTTCACAATTGCAAAAGAATAACAAATAAGTATAAAGAGATTCGATTTTGTTTAATGGTTCGTTTAGTAAAATTGTCTGCATTTCGTTTTATTCTGTTTTTTTTTATCGAAGGAATTTATTGTTTAAATAAAAGGTTGATTTAACAAATATTTTTACGAAAAATATTACAAATAGTTTTCTTCATTTTTTTTTTAAATAAATATTTTTATACGACGAGGGTGAATTGAATTTTTATTATATGTATATAGATAAAAAAGAAAAAGTAATTCTAAAGGATTCGCATTTTTATATTCCCTTCAATAATACATATCTACTCTATTTTAATTTCAATATTCGCAAATGGAATTCTAAATTTAAATTTAATTACTAAAATTCTTTGCGGATTATTTTGTATCTGAAAATTGTACAATTCGAATGAAATCGAGTGAGAGTAATAAAATTGAATTGAGGGCCATGAAATTTTCTCTCACACAAAATACAGACGCGGAAAAATTTTATTAAAGAAAAGCAGTCTTTTATTTTGAGGAAAATTTTCAAAAGAGCGAAAAGACGTCAATATTTACCTTTCGTTATATTATTGTATTTTATTTTATATTTTAATATTTTATCACTAAAAATTTTTATAATTTAATACACGTACAAATTTGTCTGGTATTAAATTTTAATAAATATAATTTCTTAAATAGATAAATTATTTTTTTTTAATGTCACAAAAAAATATTTCGAGTTTATTAATTTTTCGGAGAGTTGAAAAGTTCTTTTTGCAGTTCATTTGCATTAGAAGAAAAGTTTCTCATTCGTATATTGACTTGTTAATTATCCAACAGTTGTCACAGTTTTAGTTTGACGAAACTTTTTAAAAGTTATGAGCAACTAGTTAAACTTTTTAAAAGTAGCGTATATAGATATGCAAATTACTTGAAGGACATGTCATCATCTCTCGAGTTTTTGACTGTACATATATGCATGTTATTTCTTATCGTCTGTATAATGATTATGAATCTACATATATATATAAAGTTTATGCGAAACTGGAGCTGAGACAATTTTCATAATCCTAATTATTGCCAACATCTGGGACATGTGATTAAAATAACTCGAATAATTCTCTAAACAATTGAATAAATTCTTGAGAAAACTTTCTTTAGAGTCTTAAAACTTTGTTTAAAACTTTTCTAAAACTATTTTTTATATGTGGAATAAAATATTTTTCGAATTTTAGAAAATAACAATATATTAAATTAAATTTTGAAAGAAAAATTTTTTTTTCCATTTTGGAAGATGAAATAAATTAAAAAAGAATGATTAAATAGGGTAGAGTGGGGTAAAAAAGCCATGGTGTAAAAAAGCCATTTGAGTTTTATTTAAAAACTATTAAGCCGATTTATCAGCTGTTTGGAATATAAATACTATTAGGTAATACGCAACTTTTGAATCTAATTTGAATGTTGTACCTAGATTAATATTGTTTTTATTGTAATTTTAATTTTTTGTTGCTTTTTTGAAAACATTTTGGTGAACTTTTCAAACATATTACAATCTGATTAAGTGAACGAATAATAAAAGTAAATGTTTGTACATAAGGAGAAAAGTATACCGAAAACGTATACAATGTTAATTTTTGGAAATTGAACTGAATTAACAATTTATTTTTGCTTTTCTAATAACTGGTCTTGGGTGTAAAAAAGCCAGGGCAAAAAATCCATTGAATATTTTGTGAAATTCACTTGTTTTCTATTTAAACTAACCTTCTTATTTTACAAAATTTCTCGTGTTTATTTAATAAAATAAATTAAACACGACGAAAAAGTAGTTCAAAGTGCATTAGAAAAATAAACAATGAATAAACGGTTTCAACGAAATATGTTATCTGTCGTGAAACTTGAAGAGAACTTCAAAAAAAGGTACGAAAAATTGTCAGTGCAAATCGAAAACAGGTAAACTTAATATAATTTTCAATTTTGCTTGCTAAAAACTCTTTCATAATTATTAAAATATTTTTCAAATAAGACTATTTGTCATATAAATAAAGGAAAACTATAAAAATACCTAAATTGATAACATGTTTTGCTAAAATCGTAGGGTGGCTTTTTCACCCCACCAGGTGGTGCAAAAAAGCCACTTACAGTCCTTTCGTAAAACTCTTATAACTTAGTCCTTTCATGAGATAAAAAATATTTTCGTCAAGAATTTTCAAGCTTAGTAACTAAACTTTCAATAACAATTGGAAATTTGAGAAAAAAAATTTAAATACAGATTTTACATCATCAAAAGTAAAAATGTGGCTTTTTTACCCCACTCTACCCTATTATAAAAAAAGTATTTAAAAAAAAAGTAAAAATAAAAATAAAAAGTATTTTTAGAATTATTTGTTGATAGTATCAGAGTTGTTTTTTAAGGATATCAAATTGAGATTATATAAGTTTAAAAAAAGGTATAAAAAAATTAAAAGAGAACTTAAAAAGAAACTGAAAAGGAAACTAAAAAAACGAAAAAAGAAACTAAAACGAAAATTAAAAAAGAAATTTAAAAAGAAATTAAAAAGAAGTAAAAAAAGAAATTGAAAAATAATTTTTTTTTACAGTAATCTAAAGTATTTTTTTCTTTTTTTACAGATTCAAGCGCATTAAAGCGCGGCGGGGTGGCCCCAATGCCCGCCAGGAAGGGCCTCCTCGCCCCTCAAAATACTTTCCTTGACACTATCGCAACACGTTTCGATGGAACCCGTAAGTCGATTTTATTATCATTATATTATTAATTAATTTATTATAATTGCACCTGAGCTTATAATTTATACCTCAGCTTAAAAACCAATACAATTGGTAATTTTTGAAAACAGTTTTAAAAAAAAAATTTTTTTTAATTTTTGAAACAGTTTTTTTTTTTGACATATGAAAATTGTCAAAATTGGGCACATGGGGTAAAGCGAATACTTTTTTTTCAATTTAAAAATAACAAAATTAGGCGCAAATAGACAACTATTTCACAGTTATCAGGGTTGCCACAGGTCAGGAAATGTAGGGAAAAGTCAGGGATTTTTATTAAAAGTACTGGAAAAAATTTAATTCTAAATTCTAAATTTTTGTGTCTAAAAAAGACACAAAAAGTTTGCCTCATAAATTGTGAAATTATACCACGAATTTTGATACAAAACCTACAATTTTTTCTATTTCTGATAATAATTTAGTTTTAAATAACTTTATTATCTTTCTTAATTCTCGTCAAAATGACAATTATCTTTATAAATAATAAAATTCTTCTCCGAAAATCAATTATTTCCAATATAATTTTAATAAAATTCTTGGCGAAATTTCAATTATTTTCAAAAATAACCAATATTTATCACAAGAATTCAATAATTTTTAAATGTGATTTTTTTATATTGTCATTTATATTGTCAATAAATAAATAAATAAAATTCTTCTCAAAAATTCAATTATTTTCAAAAATTGTTAAAAAATTCTCGTCAAGATTTCAATTTTCTTAATAAATAGCAAAATTCACCGTCTAAATTCAATTATTTTTAAAAATAATAAAATTCTTTATAGGAATTCAATTATTTTCAAGAATTTTAATAAACTTCTTTGAAAAATTTAATTATTTTCATAAAGAACCAATAATCATAGCAAGAATAGAATTATTTTCAAAAATTGTTTAAAAATTCTTCGTCGAAATTCAATTATTTTTATAAATCATAAAATTCTTCTCTAAAATTCAATTATTTTCAAAAATATTAATAAAATTCTTAGCAAAATTTCAATTATTTTTAAATATTTTAATCAAATTCTTGATAAAATTTCAATTATTTTCAAAAATTTTCCAAAAGAATTCAATTATTTAAAAAAATTTGTAATAAAATTCTATGAATTCAATTGTTTACAAATTAGTTATAAATTTCTTCGCAATCATTCTATTCAATTATTTTCATAAACAATAAAATTCATTTTAGGAATTCAATTATTTTCATGAATTTTAATAAAATTCTTTGCAATATTCAATAATTTTTATAAACAAATATTTATCACAAAAATTCAATTATTTTTTAAAAAGTAATAAAATTTTTCTTAGAAGTTCAATTATGTTAAAAAATTATTTAAAAATTCTCGTCAAGATTTCAATTATCTTTATAAATAGAAAAAATTCTTCGCCGAAATTCAATTATTTTCAAAAATATTTATAAAATTCTTAGCAAAATTTCAATTATTTTCATAAAGAAACCAATATTCATCCCAAGAATTCAATAAATTATTTTTAAAAATTGTTTAAAAATTCTCACCAAGATTTCAATTTTCTTTATAAATAGAAAAATTCTTTGTCGAAATTTAATTATTTTTATATAAATAATAAAATTCTTCTCCGAAATTCAATTATTTTCAAAAAATTTTCCGAATTCAATGATTTTTAAAATCCACTATTTTAATAAAATTTTCCAAATGAATTCAATTATTTAGAAAAAATTTTAATAAAATTCTACGCAAACATTTAATTATTTTCGTAAATAATTGAAATTTCATAAGAATTCAATTATTTTCAAAAATTTTTTTTAAAATTCTCTACAAGATTTCTTTTTTCTTTATAAGAAATTCTTCGACGAAATTCAATTACTTTCAAAATTTTTTCGTAATTCAATGATAAGTCAGTGAAAAAAATTAAATTTTTGTGGCAACCCTGGAAAATTTTTTTTTAATAAATGTAGGAAAAAAACGGTAAAACCTAAGCTGTAGTTTTTTCTGGGAAAAAGTTGCGTACTTTATTTTTAATTATAAAAATTAATAATTTGGTTCGTTTTTTGTCTAAAATTGATATCCTTTTAAAAACTGTGATATATTATTAATTTCATTACCGCAGTAAAATTTTTCATTACTTATATTATTTATAATATAAATTTATAAATATTATAAATATTATAAATATTATAAATATTATTTATAAATCCCATTATAAATATTTATTGAAAATTAATAAAATTTAGACCGGATTTTATGTTTTATGTTTACTTCTTCGCTGGCTTTAATCGAAGTTTCAAGATCGTAATTCCCAGAGCTTAAATGACCGCGAGTTTTAAAGTTTAAGTCGTTTGCGAATGTTATGTTGAGCAATCATAAACCTGCCGCAAAGCAGCGGTTTCACATATATATGAGATTAAACTTCTCTTAAAAGTTTCCCTATATAACCATTTCAAAATTAAATTCACACCTTTCACGGTAAATTTTGCATATATTCAAATTTTGATTGACGTTTAATTTTTTTTTAAAACTGTACTTTTATATCTATAATAACTCGTTTTTGTGATATTATTTTTACAAAAGAAGAAATATTTTCTGAAATTCGATTAATATCCGCAGAGCAACAAAAATATTTTATCTTTTGTATTATTATCTATATTATATTTTTAATATAGTAATAAAAATACTGGTAATAAAAATAAAAATACAAATAATAAAACTAAAAAATTCGTTCGTTTGAACGTTCAGAACTTGAGGAACAGTAAAATATTTGTCAAATGTCAATAAGTTATTTAAAAAATAAAAAATTTAAAAACATTTTCGATTTAATTAATTTAAATTTAAATGGACTTGTTTTAAATACAAATATTCAGATTAAATATAAATATTCATTTGTAGCTTAATATTGGTTATAGCTTTTAGAGTTGACAAAAAAGAAATATGCTTTAAAAATTGATGCAAATGAATAAAAAAGTATAAATTATTATTATAGAAAAATAAATAAGACTTTAATGTAACAATATTGAGAATATTTATTTTTAATTTTAGATGAGAATAGATTTTTTTTCGTTGATAAAATTAAAAGAGTAATATTTGAAATAATATTTCTTCTCTCTGTTTGAAAATTTTTTTTCCATAATGCATAAAATAATAATTTTTTACATAATAATATGGAAATGTTGCTTTGAGGTAGAAAGACAATATTATAATATCAAAAGCAATTCTTCTTTCTCTGTGAGAAAAGCAATGGAGGACCTTGAAAGCTTTTGATTATTGATTATAGATATAAATTCTCATCAATCTGAAGTTTATGGATGAAGGGAAATGAGAGCTTGAAGTTTGTCTTGTTTATAAGATAAATTTACTCTAAAGCATCTGAGTTACTTTTAAAAGCTAACTTTATACCCTCCAAAAGTCAGATTCTACTCATTGGCACTAAAAATTTTATCCATCAGTTCTCGAAATTCAAAAGAGGTGCTTAATTCTCATTAGGAAAAGGTAGTTTATTTTCGCTCGTCTTTAATTTATTTATTCTATTTTTCAAACACTTAGGATTTTATTCTCTTTCGTATTTTTTTATTTTTATATTCATTTTCTATAAATTTTTGTCAAAATTAATCGTTCTCTTAATTTATTCTAATCTGTTGCATATAATATTAATTTCTATTAGAGAGTTTTGTTTAGAATTAAGATAGTAATTGCAGTTAATATTTTGAAAATAAAATAGAGGGACGTAAAGTGAGAGAATATTTTAAGGCAACATGTGAGAAATTCCCACGTGACTTAGTGTAGAAAAATATGTTCCATAACTCACAAACTTTCTCTGATGAGAAGATTTTGTGTTGACATTTTGTGAAATGATAGATAATGTCACAGAGAATGCTGTTGTTCTTATTGTAAAGAATAAATTTCGCTTGAAAGAATATAGAAAATAAATTTTATAGAAAGACTATTTTTGAACGTTTAACTAATTTTAATAAAAACTATTAAAATTTACTCCACATATTGTAAATTTTTATATATTTAATTCATTTAGTCCCAAAGGTCAGAATTTTAATTTACCGTTTTATGAAAAATTAGTACTAAATGTTTCTTACAATGATGGAACTTTTGATACTATTTATAATTTTGAAACTGAGTCCTAGAAATAAAAAAGATAAACAGATTGGCACACGTCAGAAAAGTCAGGAACTTATAGATTTTTGAAAAATTTTAATAAGAACTTTAGATAAAAACACTACAAATTTTGAATTTTGGAGAAGTTACAAATGTTTGCAGAAATTCAATTATTTTCAAAAATAAAAAAACTCTTCGCAGAAATTCAATTATGTTAAAAATTTTTTAAAAATTCACGTCAAAATTTCAATTGTTTTCATAAATAATGAAATTCTTCTCCGAAATTCAATTATTTTCAAACATATTAATAAAATTCTTCTCCGAAATTCAATTATTTTAAAAAGTATTAATAAAATTCTTAGCAAAATTTCAATTATTTTCAAAAACTTTCCAAAGGAATTCAATTATTTAAGAAAAATTGTAATAAAATTTTACGCAAGTATTTAATTATTTTCATGAACAATAAAATTTATTTTAGCAATTAAATTATTTTCATGAATTTTAATATAATTCTCTGCAATATTAAGTAATTTTTATAAATAACAAATATTCATCACAAGAATTCAATTAATTTTAAAAGTAATAAAATTCTTTGCAGAATTTCAATTATTTTTAAAAAATTGTTTAATAATTCTCCTCAACATTTAAATTAGCTTTATAAATAGCAAAATTCTTCGCCGAAATTCAATTATTTTCAAAAATAAAATTCTTTATAGGAATTCAATTATTTTCAAAAATAAAATTCTTTATAAGAATTCAATTATTTTCAGGAGTTTAAGTAAAATTTATTGGAAAATTCAATTATTTTCATAAATAACCAATATTCATCAAAACAATTCAATTGTTTTTAAAAATTGTTTAAAAATTCTGTTCAAGATTTCAAT